TGTGTGTGTGTGTGTGTGTGTGTGTGTGTGTGTGTGTGTGTGTGTGTATTATAACTGTATTTCCAAATAATTAGTTTCCTTTAGAATTCTATGTGCTTTATTTCATACATTTAAAAACATTATTCTGAGAAGGGTCCATAGGCTTCGCCAGAATGCCAAAGGGGCCCATAACACAAACAAATAAATAAATAGGTAATCGAGTAAGTAAATAAATAGTCGAATAGATAAAACAAATGAATGGATTGATAGATAAGTAAGATTTATGTATCTCTTTAAGATTTGCAAAGCACTTTGCAAAATGTCTCATTTTAGGCTCACAACACCCCGGAAGGTAGGTGCTATTATTATCTCCATTTTACAGGCTAGGAAACTGAGGCAAACAGCAGTTAAGTGATTTGCCCAGGATCACAGATCTAGAAAGCATCTGAGGGCAGATTTGAAGTCAGGTCTTCCAGACTCCTGCCCGGTGCTCTTGTGCACTATGGCGCCACCTAGCTGCCTCTAAAAGAACAAAAAAGGTTAAGGACTCCTGTCCCAGTCTCTCCTTTCCAATGCATTGTACTTGGCTCAAGAACTTACAATGGCTCCCCATTACTTGCTTTATCCAAGTGAACCACTGTCCCATCTGGCTATCAAGCCTCATCAGTCGGTCCCAACTTTAAGCAATAACCTTATCTCCCCTCTACACACCCTCTTTCTCAAATATAGAAGATACCCTGGCCTTGGGCAGGTAGTTCTCAGGGTCTGCATGGCCCTTCCCTCCTCATCTCCAGCAGTCTATCCACACAGCACAGCCAACTCAGTAACAGAATGAAAGGTTCTTAAAGGAAGATCCAGTTTGCACTTTTATCTCTGTACATCCCAACCACCTTACTCACAGTAGAAGCTTAATAAACATCTGTTAAATTGATTTACTGAACTCAAATGCTCCCTCCTCCTCAAAGCTTTTCATACTGCTCCAGGACATTTTGATGTCTCTGAACACCTACGGCACATATGCCCTGACTCTCTGATTGTTTCATCAATCTGAGTCTAGAACCCCAATGAAACAATGAGCTAGCTCAGTGAGGACAAGCACCAAGTCTCCAAGTCTCCTCCTCTTCTCTCTCCTATAGGCCAGGGGAAAGCTGGCTTTGTAAGTGCCTGCTGATATACTGAACGGGAAGGCTGGGGAAAAGGACAAGATGGATGAAGGAAGAAGCAAGAGGACGAGGGAGAAGCAGGGGGGTTCTCACCAGGAGACAAGCTTTCCCATGAGGCTCCTTGGGTCTTTGGAGGGCATCACCTCCTTCTGCACCAAGAAGTAAGGGTAGAGCACATCGATGGGGAGCTCCACAAATACAGGGCCTGGGAATGGGGGCACAGGAGGCTACCTCATCTGCTCCATCCTTCTCAAGACCCCATTCTCCCTCTGACACATCCCACCCCTCAGCATAATCCCTCTTTCACTGGCCACCCCCAACCCCAACCCCATCCCCTGCCTACCTGGGGTACCAGACTGGGCAGCAGCAAATGCAGCCCGAAGAGTAGGGATGATGTCACGGACCCGGCGGACAGAGGCACAGAACTTGCAGAGTGGCCGGAACAGAGACATCTGGTCGATGCCCTGAAGTGGCCCCCGGCCCTGACACAAGGAAAGATTGCCACTATAGGTCCCACTACATACCTTCTCCTCTTGCCACCACCTAGCCTTGAGCAAACTAGGCTTTATCACGGTAACACCAATGCTTGACGGCCAGCCCCCACCTCACCTGCAGCAATGTACTGGCTGCCCCTCCCAAAAGCAGCACAGGTGACTGGGCCATCTGGGCATTCTTCACAGCAGTCACTGTGTTGGTAAGGCCAGGCCCAGCTGTCACTGCAGCAACACCCACAGTCCCTGTCACAGACAAATCCTCTTTATCAGCAAAGTCAACATTCATTTATTCAACAAGTATTCACTGAGGTTCTAATGTGCATAAGCACTGAAGATTCATCTCCAATCACTCATCAATACCCACCATGGGAACAATTGCACAGACCTACTCAAAAGGACACCCACACCTCCCCAGAGTCCTACTCAGTAACCACAGTAATATCTATTCTCCTTCACTCTCCCTTACTTAGGGAAGGGACATAGGAATCAAGGTCCCACCTGAGAGCCGGGCCACAGCATCGGCAGCAAAGACAGCCGTGGCCTCCTGACGGGTATCGACCACCCGGATGCCTAGCTTCTCAGCCGCCACCAGCATTGGAGAAATGTGTCCACCCACCAACGTAAATATGAATCGCACGCCATGGGCCCTCAGCACTGTGGCCACACTCTCCCCACCATGCCGTGAACTAGATTTGTCCACCTAGAACAGGACAGGTAAGGAGTAAGGGAGCAGGAAGGATCTAAGGAGGGCATGGCAGAAGGGCAGCAGAGTGTGGGAGCAATTCATCTAGTACCCTGGCTTGGTGGGTGTGCTCATTCACTTGAAACATTGGAGACCTTAGGGCAAGAACCAAGCGCCAGCGGTTACAGTTCTTTTACAAGGATCCATTTACAACTGAGCAAACGGGGTCAGGGCTCTGAGTAGGGTCTTGTCCCAAAGGGGAACTGCAGAGGATTCCAAAGCATGGCATAGAATCTCCCTAACCTATCCTTCCCTCCTCCCTATTGCTATAGTATGTCCTGGACTCCTGCTCAGCTGGAAGGCAGTATATCCCAGTCAGAGGAAAGGCCTAGAGGACTAGCTGGCCTCATTTCATGACTGCACCCTGAAGCGTCTCACAACTTGTTCAACTCCCTCAGAGCCCTGGGACAGAGCCAGTTTAATACCGGGCATCAACTCAGGAAGACTTCCGTGCCCACTTCAGCTAGACTTCAGCTTCTGTTCTCATTCCCACCCCTCCCTACCACAAAAGGTTCAAGAGAACAGTGAGCTGTGTAAAGTGTTTTGGGATCCTTAGATCGGACAGCATGGTGATAACTTCAGAACTCATGGAAAGTCAGTGGAGCTGGTAAGGAACAAAGGGTGGCTTGTGTGGTTAGATGCAGAGGCCCAGCACTATCTCTAGCACCTGGAGTTTCTCCTCTTCACTACCACCACCCCCACAACTCCCATCCCAGGCAGGCAAAGTACAACTGTGAAGTTCAAGGAAGGGCCTGGGCAAGAAGACCGGGGAAAATGAGGCAAGCACAGAAAGATTTGGGGATGGGGAAGGTGGACAAATGAAGGAAGGGAGAAGAGAGGGAAGGAGGGAGGGGAGAGGAGGATGGAAGCTGGAGGAAGGGTTTTAAATGTGCCCTCCACCGGGAAGCCTGCCCTGGTCCCCATGCCCTGCAGTAGTGACCTTGTCCCTCCGGAGGCACACAGCACTCTGGCCCTCTCTGAGCTTGCACTGTAGGATATTAGTGATGTGTGTGTGTTACACGCGCGCCCACAGACCCAGAATGCCCTGGAGCTCCTGGGCACAGGGCCCGAGGCTTAGCTAAGCCCGATTCCGGCCCGGGGGCAGTGCCGCCTCCCTCCCCGGCCCCGGGCACCTGGTGCAGGAGCTGGTAGAAGAGGCCCAGGCGATGTGCGACTCCCAGCAGGATGGCCGCCAGGGCCCCGCAGGCCAAGAGAACGCAGCAAGGGACCGAGGCCCAACCCGCCTCCATGTCCAAGCTAACGCGCGGACACGGGACCCCGCTCGGCTCCGGGCCGCCCTATGCCCCGGCCGCACCACGCCCCATCGCCTCTCCTGGCCACCTACGTGGGCGGGGCTTCGCAAATTCGGGATAAGCTCCGCCCCACCCTGCGTGGGCACGTCTCCCATCCGCCTGAGCCACGCCCCTCGGCTCCAGGGATTGGTGGCTCCTCCGCCCCTCCCGCTCTCCTCCGTCTCCCCTGCGGGAACAGAGGGCGCTCTGCGGTTTGGCCAGCCCTTATCCTCACGTGACTGGCGCCTCCCAGTCAAGTGGAGGGAAAAGGCCCCTGAATTCTAAGTCTTCCGCCTTCTGGACATTAAGGACATTAAGGACATTAAGGACATCCGGGTCCTTACTGTAGGTTACCGCCTTCGGAGGGAAGAGGAGGAGAAGGAAAAAAGAAACCAGTTGTTCAGAAACTCTGCTCACAGATAACTTTTGCCTCTCACAGGCCCCGCCCTCATCATGGCCCCTACCTCTTCGCAAGAGGCAAAGAGGGAGAGGGGGAAGGGGAAGGGGGTCCTATAACCCTCCCCACCCCATCATGGCCACCATAACCTCGAGGAGACCCCCCCCTCCGCCAAAACCTCGAGGCCACGCCCCGTGAGGTCATGTTCTTCGCTTCCATGTTACTGGCTTCACCTCGTTACTTACAGCCCCGGTTACGTCCCCTCCCTCACCTGCTCCGCCCCAAACTCTCCTCGTTTGGAGCCCCCACCCCATAAATCTCTCAGCCCACCTCCTTGCCACCTACACCCCACTGCGCATACCCAAGGCCATTGTCACCCACCCCTACCTCCCTGCTTTCCTTCTGCAACTTTAAGCAAATATTCCCATTCATTTGGGGCAGCTAGGTGGTGCAATGGAGAGAGCCCTGGACCTGAGGTCAAGAAGATCTGAGTGCAAATCCAGCCTCAGACACTTCCTAGCAGTATGACCCTGGGCAAGCGACTTAACCTCTGTTCCTCATTTGTTAAATGGGAATGATAACAGCACACGAGGGCAAAATGAGATAACATTTGCAAGGTGTTTTGCAAACCTCAAAGTGTTATATAAATACTCGCTATGATTATTCATCCTCTGCCCTGATGCTTACTTCAGGAGTTCAGAATTGGAAGGAAACTATACTGGTTTCCCATTCTCCATGCCAAGGTTCTGTTCTGGGTCCAGGTTCAATGATCTCTATGCGGAAGATTCTCAATTCACTTTCCAGCCTTATTCTCTCTCTTTCCTGGGCTCTGGGCTATCTATTGGCTGTTAGAACTAGATGTCCTGAAAGGGTGATATCATAAGCAAATTAGGGGAGCATGGAAAATTTTACCTGTCAGATCCATGCATAAGGGAAGAACTGATGACCAAGCAAGAGATAGAGAGCTTTGCAGGATGTAAAATAGATAATTTTGATTACATTAATTTAAGGTTTAGACCAAACAAAACCGATGTTGCCAAGAATAAAGGAAAACAGGAAACTGGGGAAAGTTTTTTTTTGTTTTTTGTTTGTTTTTACAGTCAGTTTCTCTGATAAAGCCCTCATTTCTCAAATCTATAGAAAACTGAGTCAAATTTATAATAGGAATCATTCCCCAACTGAAATGGTCAAAGGATATGAGAGCAACTAGGTGGTGCCCTGGAATGAGTGCTAGGCCTAAGGTGAGGAAGACTCATCTTTCTGAGTTCAAATCTGGCCTCATACACTGACTAACTGTGTGACCCTGGGCAAGTCACTCAACCCTGTTTACCTCAGTTTCCTCATCTGTAAGATGAGCTAGAGAAGGAAATGGCAAACCACTCCAGTATCTTCCCAAATGGAGTCGTGAAGAGTCAGATTCAGACATGACTGAAATGAGTGAATAACAACAAAGAATATGAACAGGCAGGTTTCAGAAGAAATTAAAGCTATGTATAGTCATATGAATGAATGCTCTAAATTACTATTGATCAGAGAAATGCAAATTAAAACAACTCTGAAGTATCACCTCACACCTATCGATTAGATAATATTGGATAATAAAATGATAAATGTTGGAGGGGATGTGGAAATATTGGGACATTGATGCACTATTGATAGACTTATGAACTGATCCAAACATTCTGGAGAGCAATTTGAAACTATGCCCAAAGGGCATACCCTTTGAGCCAGTGATACCATTAGTAGTGATATTGTATCTGTATTCTAAAGAGATCAAAGAAAAAGGAAAATGACTAATGTGTGCAAAAAACATTTATAAAAGCTGTTTTTGTGGTGGCAAAGAATTAGAAATTGAAGGGATGCCCATCAATTGGGGAGTGGCTGAACAAGTTGTGGTATATGATCGTGATGGAATACTACTGTGCCATAAGAAATGACAAGCAGGATGGGCTCAAAAAACCTGAAAAAACTCATATAAACTGATGCAAACTGAAATGAGCAGAACCAGGATAACATTGTACGCAATAACAGCAATATTGTACAATAATCAACCACAGATGACTTAATTATTCTCAGCAATACAATGATCCAAAGGACTTATGATGAAAAATGCTATCCACTCCAGAGAAACAACTGATAGAATCTGAATGCAGATTGAAGCATACTCTTTTTTACCTTCTTAATTCTTCTTGGGTTTTTTTTTTTTTGGTCTGTGTTTTCTTCTGCAATGTGACTAATAAGGAAATATGTTTTGCATGAGTGCACACATATAACCAATATCAAATTGCTTGTCTTCTCAATGAGGAGGGAGGAAGGGAGGGAAAAAATTTGAAACTTAAAAATTTTTTTTAATGTTTAAAAAAATTTTACATGTAATTGAGAAAATAAAATAAATAAAATTTTAAAAAGAACTAGATGTCCAAGAGGAATCTCAAACTCAGTATGTCCAAAACAGAACTCTATCTTTCTGCAAAAATCCTCCCCTCTTCTGAACATTCTCTATTACATTCAAGGTCACCACTGTCCCTCCCATTCACCCAGCATCCCAACCTTAGTGTTGCCCTCCACTCCTCACTCTCACTCATCCCCCAAATTTAGTTCATCACCTCACATTATTTCTAGCATAGAGATACTCCCCATTCTCCACTCACATAGCTGCCTCCCAAAGTTCAGGCCCTCATCACCTCTTGCTTAGACTGTTCCAATAGCCTTATAATCAGTCTCTCCTGCCTCAAGTCTCTCCCCATTCCAGTCTATCCTCCACACCGCTGTCAAAATGGTTTTCCTAAAGTGCAGGTTTGATCATGTCACCCAACTACTCATTAGATTCCAGTGGCTCCCTATTACCTCCAAAGTCCTCTGTTTGACATTTAAAACTCTTCACAACTTGACCCCTTACTACCTTTCCTGTCTTCTTTTACTTCACTTCTCTCTGCACACTCTGTCATTCAGTACACTGGCCTATTTGGTATTTTTCAGACATAGCAACCCATCTTCTGACTCTGCACCTTTGCACTGGCTGTCCTCCATTCCTAGAATACCCTTCCTATTCCTCCCCTTATCTCCTCTAATTTTTCCTGGTTTCCTTCAAGACCCAGCTCAAACTCAAGGCAAGGCAACAAATAATAAGCATTGATTAAAAGCTTATTCTGTGCCAGGAAGTGTGCTTAGCACACGGCCGGGTGCTGAAGTCCAGAAAGTGAGAACAATAAATCAGAAAATCCACGAAAGTGAATAAGTTCTTTTTTTTTTCTTTTTTTGTTTGGTGAGGCAATTGGGGTTAAGTGACTTGCCCAGAGTCACACAGCTAGTGAGTGTTATGTGTCGGAGGCTGGATTTGAACTCACGTCCTCCTTACTCCAGGGCTGGTGCTCTATCCACTGAACCACCTAGCTGCTCCCTCCTCTGTTTTCTTACAGCTTCTTTCTCCACAAACAATCCAAGACACCTTCCCCCACCTCTCACAAGAATCCTTTTTCCAAAACATTTATTGCTGATGTATTTGAATCGATTGCATACCACAAAACCATTAGTCCCAGATCAGATTCTATCAGGAAGCTTTACTTGATCCCGCTAGTTGGGGAAGACCTTCTCCTCAGACCTCACATTGCATGTAGCTTTGTAACTTCCTAGTACATTTTACAATACATGATACCACACAATATCTACATTAGTGTCTTATTTCTCTAATAGGCTCTCAGGTCCATGAGGTCTCGTGTCTCATCTAAACTTGGTGTCTCCCGCAATTTGAGCACAATGTTCTGCCCGCAGAGATCACTTACTAAGTATTGGTTAAAGTGAAATGAATTGAAGTGAATTGAAAGGGAGGAATTAGGTGGACAGGTAGCATTAAGATCACCTCCTCTATACACCCTACCCTCCTTGCAGCACCTCAAAGGTCCTTACTTTTCCCAACCTGCTTCACTCTCCCCGTTATAGGTCCCATGCCCTCAAAGAGTCTGATTTTCTCCCATATCTGGACCTTATCTAGTCCAATCCTCTCATTTTACAGGTAACCACAGGACGCTTGCTAACCACTACCCTGATCCCATGAAATAAGAAGGATAAAGTTGATCTGTCCCATCTGGACCTTTGGGGGCCCCATCCATGCTTTACCATCAGCTCTGCAGTTAAATCCTCCATAGGTACTGTTGTTTTGTGCTTGGTTCTCGAAGAGGACCATGACATCAGGAAGGCAATGCCATGACATGCAAGTGAATTGGATTTAAGTGAGGGAAGGCTGTGCAAAGTCACCAGCCTCACTTTCTCCTGCAAAGCCATCTGGGTCCAATGACCAGATACAGATCAGGACGACTGGCTATGGGCCTGGATGCCCCAATCAGAAGGTGAGATCAATGGGGGAAAGGACTGTCTCACTTTTTTATTTGTAACCACAGTGCTTAGCACCTTTTCCGTCCCCTAGTAAGTACTCAATAAATGCTTTTTAATTTCATTCATTAGGCAGCAGGAAAGTCCCATACTTACCCTATTCAGCTCTGACCTGTAGTGGTTAAGTGCTAAGTATACAAAAACCCTGAACTGCCCTCAAGGAGCTTACATCCTAATGGAGGTAACTTAGAAGTATATACAGAGGGA